AAAATTCTTAAAAAAAATAAAAATAAAAACTATTTTGGGTAGGATGGAATGATTATACCTAATTTACCCAAATGAAAACAAATGCAAAGGCTTGTGACGTAATGCAAGCTCAAACAGCTACCAGATCCTAGCAACTCCATTTTCTACATTAAAAAAAAAATTGCTCTTTCCACAATATCACACTTTTCTTCTTTTAGGGGTCAGGGTTTCCAGATTATAATTTCCAAAATTCTCCTGCCTATACCCAAAAAGCTCTTGTCCTTTACCCTTTCCAGTCCTCCAATCAAGCAAAAGCCGAGTCTCCCCCTGCCCACCCTTGAGTTTGGGACCATCACTAGAGAGTCACTTAACAGGACAAGCTGTTGTTAGGTGCTATCTAGGCAACTGCACCTCACAGCAACCTTGGGAACCACAGATCTGGACCCTGCCCTGTCCTGTGCCACACCTACCGCCTCTGACACACATGAGCATGTCCACTGCCACAGTCACTCTGTCAATCCTTCTTGTTGACAAGCTCCCTCTCTTATGCTGGTCCTTCACCTTATCAAGCATGATGTCCTTCTCCAAGGAGCAGCTACTCCTATGAACATGCCCAAATGATGTGTGATGACGTTTCCCTCTCCTTGCTTCCAAGGTCTACCACAACAAACAAATCATCAACCTGAATGGGACCTCAACCTCAACTAACAATTACATTACAGTTCTCTGGAAAGCGTGCTCTTTCAGTTTCCTCAAAAAAGAACGTCAATTTTCTTCACTTCTCAGGTCACCCATCTTCTCTATTTACTCTCAGTAGATAACCTGCGTTTCACCAGACAATGTCACTCACCACCTTCCTGCTGCCCAACACTTGAACGAAATGGCATCTACACCTATTCCTGCTTTCTAGCTCCTCTGGGTAGAGGCCAGTCACACTTTTTCTGGGGAACAAAAGCTCCACAGGTTCTCCCAGACCTTATGCTCTTTCTCTGTTGCTTCTCTGTGCATGCAACCTTTCCTTCTCAAAGTGGCTCTTCTCTGAAATGTTCTCAAGCATGTTTCACAGAGACATAAATCCCTTTGAGCCCAGATACCCTTCCAGCTATGGTTGTATTTGTATCCTTCCTTTTCATCTCAATTTCTAGAAATCATACTTCTTCATTGCCGTCTACATTTCTCACTTCCCACCCTGCTCACCCAAACTGGTTCCTGCCTCCACTTCCACCCAAGCAGCAACTGATGGTGTCAACAGTTGGCTCCAAGTAGCTAAATCCAAAGACATATATCTGCCTGCCTTGTATTTGACCCCACAGCATAGCTTCCAACTCAGTGTGTCTGACTGTCTCGAAACAATCCCCTTCTCTGGTTGCAGTGATATCATAGTCCACTATTTTTCTATTATTCCTGCTAATTCTTATCAACTTGTTTTTATGAGTTACTCTTAACTCAATGTAGCAGCTTAGTGTGGTTTCAGCAAAGGCAAACCTCGGTCCAGGCATTCTCCCTTTCCTTCTGTAGCTTCTTTACAGATTGCAATATCTACTGCTTGAACTTAGACTAGGACTTACACGCAAATGAACTGTAAATTTAAATATTTCCCTCTCAGCCCTCCATTGAGCTCCTTACCTGAACATTCAAACACACATGGAATTTCAGCCTTGTGGTGTTTCAAGTGCACTTCTAAATTTAGCATTGATTGTTTCATATGTTTTTAAGAATACGTCATACATTGACTCATTTGATTATCACAATAAGAAATATACTTTATACTGCCATTATCCCCCAAGGGATAGAGGGAATAGAGGTTCCATGTTCAGTAACTTCCTTGATCAGCTGGGAAGTGAGAAAACAGGAATCTCAACCCAGGCAGCAGACAGAAGGCTTGCTCGCCGTCTTTGGGTGTCTTGTCTCCAGAAGCCCCATGGAGGAAACCATGCTAAGTCTGGTTTTTCTCATCATTGTTTCCCCAGAGCGTACAGCAGCAAGAGGCAGCAATTAGAGAAGTGTTTACAGACAAATGAACGAATCAAAGAATGCCCTTCACTGACCACTTCATTTGAAGAGGCAGTCTGTAAAACCTCTTCAACTTTTTCACTCTGTGGTTACACAAAGGAAAACCGGGATAATATCTCAGAACAGATTTTGCAACAAATATTTCAAGGCTTCGAGCTACACTGACCTATTCTGAGAGATAGATGACTGCAGAGCGAGATGGATGAATAGTCTCTAAACTGACAGAAAACGAGGTGACCTTGGCAGAAAGACACAGAATATGCAATCAGAAAATAACAGCAAGTCAATAGCTGAGTCCTGGCTTCCATGCTGGAGAAATGGGTTCGATTCTCAACCAACACCCTTCATGCACAGCTACCAGCTGTCTGTCAGTGGATGCGTGCATATCTGCATGATGCTGTAAAGGTTTCAGCAAAGCGTCCAGGCTTAGACAGACTAGGAAGAAAAGCTTGACCATGCACGCAGAAAATTCCTAGGGATTACAATGGCTTGATCTAGAATTGATCATCAGGAGGATGCAAGATCAAACAGAATTCTGTTCCATCATGCAAAGAACACTCATTTACAAAACAGCATTAAACTCTACACTCTTCTTTGCCTAACTGTACTTCTGTCCCATTCCTAAAACCTTAGTTTAATAAGAGACAAATCTGGCTTGAAGAGCTATCACACACTTCAGTGACTCAGAACTGTGACCCGAATTCAGGTAGCTTTCCATGGCAGACCACCAATGAGGCGTGTTTCTGGACAAGTAATATCAACAGCTACATAAATTCAGCATGCTATTTCAACTGTGCTTTAATTGTCTGCTGCATGATCATGTCACATAGTTTGTGCCACTATGAAATCGGCCAGTATTTCTGAGCAGCATAAAAAAGCTGATGAAAACAGATCAACTGAATCCAAAACTACAAAGACAGCCCATTTTCCCACCAAAATATTGTACCACATATGTAATATACATAATAAAACAGCACACTTTGTGCCTCGTGCACCAGGAGAAAACTGACTTCAGTGGGTCGTATTGATTAGGCACATGAAATGAAATTACAGAGTGTGTGTTTCCAGGTAAGTTATCTGCTTTTGAGTCTACGAAAATGAAAAATTCATCGCTTGAACCTATTTCAGTACCATAGGAATGGCTGTGAATGTAAATGCTGTAACATTTGCTCACTGGATAAATAGCTTTTTATGATGTGCCTTCTCATCTTCTGAGCACCTGTCATGCTGAGGTGGCAGGCCGTGTTCAGGGGACTATTTCTGGATTTGGGGAACGAGAGGGGACAAGAAACATGAAGAAAGGTTATTATTTCCTGTCCTTGACCCTCTCCTTCTTTCAAGGCCGTTGTTGCCCCAGAAGATGACCAGTATGTGTTCAGATAAAATCTGAGCTTTTCTAAACTTAAAATAAAACTGAGATGAGCTGCATCCTTCTCATGTCCGCTTTCGCTCCACACGGCACATAGGGATGACTTCAAAGGGAAGTATTAGAAGTATCACCAATTTTAAAAGCTACCTTTAAAAATGTCCTTCCAGATGTGCAGGGGGCAGGAGGCATTAATCATGGGGTTGTACAATTTGGTGGGTGGGGGGATGAGGGAAATTCAAAGAATTTGTTCTTGAAAACAACACATTGAAATTTCATAAATAAACTAGTAGAAAACTAAAAAAAAAAATTTAAAATGTCCTTCCATATGCATACATTTGGAGATATGTTCTACAAACATAGAAGAATTGAGACTTATCAGCACATCTTCTTCTAGGTTTATGTCCCGTCAGATAAATGTTATACTGGGGAACACTGCAGGTTTCAAACTTTAACCCAATGCAAAAGCTTCTACTTTCTTAAATATGTGCTTCGTTTCAAGCACTTAATTTCTACATTTAAAAAAAAAAAGAAGGAACTCTTTAAAAAAAAGGAAGAAATCGTGACTTTTTCTTTTTCAAGAAAGCAAACATTTTTACTGTACACCTATCACCCAGGCCCATGGACACATGATTGCCACCAGAGGGAGGTATCACAGATGGTCCCAGTAGGGCTCAAACACACACACACACACACACACACACACACACACACACACACACACACGATTCACTCAAGATATTGAAAATGAAATTTTATCTTTGTCTCAATAACTGGGTCCAGGAAAAAGTAAAGTTTACTCTTAATCCAATCTTTACTGAAGGGGAAAAAAAAAAAGTACAAATGAAAGTGTAACAGAATATGACCACGTTGGGATA